TTACATTTCTTATGCTAATAACGATCAAGCCACAGGCTTGAATAACATCGCAGTTATTTTGGGCCCTTATATGTAATTATTTTTAATTTGGACCCGTATTTGTAATTATTTTCACTTTTCGGGCCCTTATTTGTAAATTCCCCTAAATATTATTAACGAACATGAAATTTTAGGTTCCCGAGATCCTCAAGTTAACTGAAGAAAAACTTACACAAAAGTTCGGTAAAAAAATTCAGACTTTACAACTAAGGCTGACATGAAATATGGTTTAAGCAAGTATGGAATCGCTGGAATTTAGGTAAATTTGTAATAGAAAATCTTAATCTAGGAATTCAACAAGGCTAACTATTTTTTTCTTAGAAATGGTGAAGATCGAAAACAGTAACATAAATTTCCAACGGTGTTCACTTTGCAAGAACATTTCGTTAATCTAAAAGGTAGAAATGTATTAGCAAGTGAATTTTGCAGAAATACTACATTGAAGCATCTAGATTTGTACAATGCTAACCTTGGACAAAACGGAAGTAAAATTCTAAACGATACACTTGACAATAATAGATAAGATTAAATGTAGGATGGGTCCTTTAAGTGGTTATAAAGAGATTGTACACTCTAAATATATTAAAGAGTCTCCAAACAAATTGCCAAACAAATTACCAAGAATTCAAATAGATTATATCTAGAGTTGGAAAATTATTAATATAGAAGCACCAGGCGAAGTTGACTATGCATTTAGAATAAGTAAAATATTGAGTAATTTAAAAGAGTTAGTGTGTATAACTGAGACCAAAAGGGACAAAGAAGATATAGAAATTAATCAAACCACTGTGCAACTTGAAAGTGCTTTTTATTAAAACAAAAAGTAGACAGTTATTTTGAAGGTTATTATAATTATATTTATATGGTATTATGACTACTCGTGAGGAATTATATTTCACGTAAACATTTAACTAATTTCAATTTTGTAAATTGTAACTAAAGAATGGGTTTCATAATTTATATGTTGTAAGTGGGAATGGAATCATAATAGAGTTCGGAATCCACTTAGATTAGAATGGGATAATTATACTAAAAATCCCGAATCAACTTAAATTCTGTTCCCACTTACGACACATACACCAGAAAATAAGCATTTTTCAAAGAGTTATATGATAGAAATCGCTAGTGAAGCTTTGATTAATGACACCAAGCTTCGCAAAGATGTAAAAAAAAAGTTATGAAAATAGTAGTAGGCTTGTTGAAGGACAGGGTGGAGATTGATGACTCCTTTGCTAGTAAGAAAAATAAGGTAAAGAATATATTAGATAGATAGATAGATATGTATCCTATAAGTACTATCTTTTATCTATATTGGCTAAGTAATATTCCTGTTTTTTTAATTTAATGATTGACTTTTGAGATAATTCAATTTATTTTTGCGAATTTTACAAATTTACATTTTATTGCACTGTTATATATTAGCACTTGTGGGTCAGCAACTTGCATTTTAATTTTTTTTCACCATTATGTGCTCTAACGATAACACTAATTGTATTTCGAGAATGCTATTATAAAATTTCACACGTGACGTTACTATAAGGTTTATTGGTCTGGAACGGAAGTGAACGGAGTGAAAGACCTTAGAGCCGTACGCTTAGAGATTTTGTCGATATACGACTCCTGCCCTGTAATTATGTTAATATTTTGGCTATCCCTGTAGAATTTTAATCAATAATCGGCTCATTGAAGTGTATGGTTGTTTAAAGCTGTGTATATTTAATATATTGATCTATATACTGTATAATTATATTTTTTACGGTGTACCATAGGTACCCAAGGTGACATAATTTGCATTTTAGTGTTTTAGTGTTTTAGTGTTATAGTGTTATAGACTTTAAAAGTTATTTCTATAAAAGAAATTATTACCAAATTAAGCAATAAATTTTTGATTTTGTGTTTTAGTAGTTTAGTTGTTTTAGTTTTTTAGCATTTTAGCGTTTTAGTGTTTTAATGTTTTAGTGTTTTAGTGTTTTAATGTTTTAGTACTTTAGTGTTTTAGTGTTTTAATGTTTGTGTTTATGTTTTAATGTTTTAGTGTTTTAATGTTTTAATATTTTAGTGTTTTAATATTTTAATGTTTAGGAAATTTGTCCCAAAAATGGTAGTTGATAACGGGTGCATCATGCATAATTATTAACATATTTTGTTTTGATAATATTTAAGCTGAATTATGGTGATACAGATTTTTGAACTATGTATCAGATTTTAAATTAGGTATTAATATAGCAATTAGAAAAACTCAAAAATAATTGTTTGCTTATTTTTTTATTTTATTTTTTTTTTTTTAACATATTGGCAGCCTCGCCAGTATCTTTATTAGATCAAAGCATATATATACATATATTAACTATCTAAGCTACAGATCTGACATCTCTTGGCTACTCATAGGGTGCCCAAGAGCAGTCTGCCTTACCAGATAAGGCTTATGCCTGCACCGGGGCTGCACCAAGCTAGCCTGCAAAACTATACCAAAATAGTTTTGCTTTATTTACAATATAATTTTTAATCGACGCAAACCAAGTCACTTTTTTTTGTTTTTTTTCCTCCTCTTTTTCCTTTCTTTTTTTTTTCTTTATCTTCCTTTTGGTTTGGTCTTGATCACCCGAAAACTCCCTAATAGTCTTATACGGCTACTTTGTATTGGGACTCGAAATCTCTACTTTCAAATTCTATCTTCTCTTTTTTTTAGTATCTATACCTTCTTTCTTTTTTCATTTATTGAAAGCTAAGCATCTTTGCTTCCAAATATTCTTGTAAAAAAAATTCTATGCTAAATTCATTGCTGTTTCCAAATAATTTCTTGCTTCTCTCAATGGTTTTATAATGTCAATTAGTTTTCTGAAGACTTATTTCTGAATTAAACCCTTGAGGATACCTGCTCTTGTTTTGATTCTTTCTTCTCTTATTGGGCCCTAAAAAGTGTTCTTGAGTTGGATTTTACTTAGTTGACTTCTTGTTTCTGTAAATAGGACCACCCAGGCTATATTTGATACAGTTTGTTCTAATTCAGTCTATCTTTCTTTATACTTTTTATATTTTATTAAATAGGCTTGATCTTCTTCTTCATTTTCTTTACAAATTACACAAAAGAGGTTTTCATATAGATCTAGTCTTCTAGTGGCCAAGATTTTAAGTACTGGTAGTCTTTCGTGTAGACACTTGACCAATATCTCTAGCCATTAGTTCTTCTTTGAGCTGGTACATTTGCTTCTGTTCTGGCTTCTAATTTTCCTTCACAAAATCGGCCAATAATTTGTTTCAAATATATCATTTGGTTCTTCTTTTTGTATTGCAGATGATATTCTCCAGTCTAAACTCATTTGAAAACAAAAAACTGTTTAGATAAATTGTCTTGAAGATTCTTCAACTATTTTGTCTTCCCAACACAAAGAAACGTTCAACTCTTGGGGGATTTTCTTATTATGTCCTTCTTATTGTTTATTCTAGAACCTAATTTTGCTAAATTATCTGCTAAGTTATTCTATCTATTATTACTATGATCTTTAACCTTTACTAATTCTAGCTGAATTTCTTTAATCCTAATTATATCAACTATACTATTTACTAAATTATAATTTCCTTCTTTAAAAATTTGTTATGTTACTCTCTTTTTTCTTCTCCTTTCTATACTTTCTATTACCATCTGCTATTAAAATATTTTGAATGCTTCTTGGTCGATCTTGAGGGCATTTTCTCTCTGTTTGTCCACGTACTTCATAATAGTTCCCTGTGATGATTTCTTCTTTACTAGTGATCTGTACGAATTTTTCTGCTTTTCTTGATTAAGCTTACAACTATTATATTTTTTAAAGTTTGACTACTCGTGTATTTAGATCTTTTTCTGCATTCCAATACTCTGTTAAGAAGCCCTTCTGCTTCTCTTTTCTTTCAATGATCTTCTTAATGACTAGATTTTTGTTTCTTTGTTTTTCGTATTCTGAACTAAAATCTAATTCTTTTTTTCTTTGATCGTCTTCTAAAAGGTCTAAGACAGTTTGAATTACCCAAGCATTCAGGCCTTCTGTCTTGAATTTTGTTTTGACTATTCTTTTTTTTTTATTTTCTAAAACTCCTTCTTCTATTGCTTGGAACCACTTTGCTTTTTTTCCTTTACTAGAGCTATTTCTAAAAATCTTTAGCTGCTTCCAGGTTATTAAATAGTCTTCTGTGCTTGTAAGCAATTGCTTAAGAGAAATCAAGTTCAATTTCCTTAGAGTTCTTGTGACTAGCGCAATAAAGTTTTCTTTGAGTATCCTTGCTAATCTGAAGTCTTTGCTTTCTGTTATTAAGGTTGTGCTTCTGAACCTTAGCGTGATTCCCAACTCTCTAGCATTTAGCATTGTTCGGCATGCAAGATTGTTTCTCCAGATTCATGCGCAAACTGCTGGTGGTTCTTTGTACCATGTATTCTTTGTTGATCTAATCATTCTCATGCTGTTGATTATTCTTAGTAATATCAAAATCTCCTCTGAACCAGAGATATTTAACTGAAAGTATAAACTAGAGATCGGTTTTGTTAAGAGTTTGTTCTATAAAGCATTGCAATTGCTAATACTTCTGTGTAAAATTGTACTATTGCTTATAGTTCTTGCAAGTCTCATCTTGTTTTTGGTTAGTACGAATAAGGAAGTTTGGAGACTATCAATTATCCTCTGCTTAAATCTGAAAACTTGTAGCATATAACACAGCTTTGGAACTATACACATATTATTAATGTATACTGCTTGTGCTATTGTTATTTTTTTGGATTAAGAATCCTTGCTGTTGCATAGACAATCTCTTTTGCTCTCGCCTTAACCAAAGATTTATCTAATTTGTTATTTAGCCATACACTGAGAAATCTTGTAATCTTATTCTTCCCCTCCTCTGCAAGCTACTCATTACCAAACAGGAGCTTTCGGTCTTTCTTCTTTTCTAGTGAATTGCAGATGATTAATTTTGATTTTTTTCATTGATCTGTATGCTATTAAATTTAAAGAACTCTTCTGCGATTTGAATAATCTTTTTCATCTGTGTTTTGCTCTCTGCGATCCATGTTATATTGTCGGTATATACAACTACCGCTTGTCTTATGAGATCTCTTTGTACTGATTTACATTATCATCAACTGTGATTCTTTGTCTAATGGTATATCCTAGCTCTGTATTCTTTTAAATTCTTGATAATAATAGATCATAAAAGATTCTCAAAACAAGCAGAGATATCACTTCTTCTTGCTCAATACCATTATTTATTACAAAGCCATCAGTTGTGCCTAGGTCTGTGATAACTTTGGATTGTCTGTTCTCAAAAAGATTTAGTATGAAAGTTACTATTATTTGTGAAATCTTGAGCCTTTTCAAAGCTAGCTCTAGAGATCTTAGTGATACTGAATTAAAAGCTTTTTTCATATCTTGAAGAACTAGCTACAGTTTCTTGTTATTGTCCTTTGTATCTTCTATTATTATATTTATTATTTGCACTGGTTCCTCTGTAGAGTTACCAGGCAGTCCAACAAAGTTTGGACCTTTTAGAATATCTTTTTCTGCAAGGACTTTTGCTAACCGTTTGGTTACAATTTTAGTTATGCATTTTCTAAAAGTTTCTAAAAGTGCTATTAGTCTAACATTGTTGAGATTATATCTCCAATCTGAGTCTTTTGGAATAGAATAGATTTTTGAGATCTTCTATTTTATTGGTACCTTTCCAGAGTATATACAGCTTTCTGCAAAAAGATAAAATATCTTCTGTGCTTGTGGACTTGCTGCTTTGATTAGTGCATATGTAATTTCTGAAACTCCTGGGGCTGTGTTTTTCTTAAGCTCCCTCAACATGC